AACAACAACAACAACAACATTGCAGATGCTAAGATCATCTTCCTTTCAAATATTACTCATTAGAGCAATAGTCCTGAAGCATTGAACAATACTCACTCATGGAAGAAAAGTCAGTTAGGTTTATCGGATAGTGTGGTAGGTTGTGTTAAGTTCCACTGAATTGGAATAAACTTATAGCTGATGCTCCGGTGTTTTTAGAGGCAATAAGTCGCATAGGAGGAGATTGCCCATCTTTCTCCTGTGAAGCAACTGGTGGATTTGAAACACATGCCTTCAGGTTAGCAGCACAATTCCTTACCACTAAGCCATCACTGCTCAGTAATATTCTGTAGAAAAATTTCGACAGGATCTGAAACTCAAAGAATTTTCTCTTTGCCAACTGAAGAGAATATCAAATTGCACCATGAGAAAGTCTCATTTTGACTGACATCAGGGTTGGAGCAAGATTGAAAAAAACTGGATAAATTATGTATACTGCATTGAAACAGATGAGGGAGAGAACAGTTTAAAAGCAATATATGGTTGGGTATTATGGTTATGACAGGAGTCCAGAGTGAAGGTTGCATAGTGGAGTGTACTCGGGGCGGGGGTGAGGGGATTGTATACCAATGAAGGAATTTTTCTTTTACTTTTCAAAGAGAAGAGTGAACTGGTGGGTATGGGTGGGCAGGGAAAAAAGTGAACAATGAATAAATGGAAATCCTAAATATCTGTAAATGCTTATTAAAATAATTTTTTTAAAAAAAGTCCCATTTTGTAACCAAAAGCAGCCAAACAGTACCAGTTTTATAGACTTCATACTTTAAAAATTTTTTTATAATTCAGTGTAATAATCTTGAGGTCTAATTGATTTAATTTTGCTTTTCATTAGTTTTTCCAAACCAAATTGTCATTCTTGGTCTTTTCAGTTTGGAATGGCAAAAGCTTCACTTTCATTTTTAGCACAAAGTTTTCTTAGGCTGTGGTAGGAAACCCAGTCCTGTCATTATTTGTTAATAGGTGTCAGTTCTCTTTAATAAGTAGCCTGGAAGAAAAAGCTCTGATTTGATTCATCTTTCTTTTCCTGCAGCATTTATATCATATCTAACACATAGGAGGTAGTAAATGTTTGTGGAGTATTTACTGTGAGCCTGTTTTCATAAATGACTTGGCAAAATCCCAGTGGTAACAAAAGCTAATAGTGATAATTTAGGTGAAATGAATCGTCAAATTGTCCTATAAAGGTTAACGATGTTTTCTGTGGCTTTGTTTGCTGTAAAGGGCACCTGGACGTCGTGGCACTGCTCATTAACCATGGTGCAGAGGTGACATGTAAGGATAAGAAAGGTTACACACCCCTGCATGCCGCTGCCTCCAATGGACAGATCAACGTTGTCAAACACCTCCTGAATCTGGGAGTGGAGGTGAGCTGCGCCTAGTGCCTACGAATGCTTTACCACGTGGCCTGTGCAATTGGGGGGTTTCTGTTGTTTTTAATTAAATGGTGACCTCAGGTATATCAGAAGAATTAAATGGTGTTTGCATATTAAGTCAAGTAGAAAAAGATATTTTTTTTCCTCTTTCATCCAATTTTTACATGAGCAACTGAAAGGCGATGGGATAATTTACTAAAAACAGAAATCTAGACATAGGTTCATTTTCTGTATCTATAAATATATAAAATACATCTTCTGTGAGTATAGGAAAATATATAGCTATCCATTGCTGTTAAGTAGTCTGATTCATAGCAATCCTTGATTCAATTTGTAAGGCTGTAGATCTTTCTCCTGTAGAGCAACTTGATGGTTTCAAACTTCAACTTGACATGTTACACATACTACTACCAGGACTCCTTCATAGATAGACATAGATGTGTTTATATGTGTACAAATATATGTTTGTAGGTATTCATGAGTACATATGTGTATATCCACATCTGTGTGTATATAAAGAACTAATTTGGTTAACAGTGCACTAATTAACTAATTCAGCTACTACCCCAAAGACTGGATGTTTGAGTCTACACAGAGGCATCTTGGAAGAAAATCGTTGTGACCTTCTTTCTGAAAACAGCTTTTAGGGAGCTCTGGTGGCCTAGTGGCAAGAAGCTGTACTGCAATCCCAGAGGAACATGGTTCAAATCCACCAGATGCTCTGCTGGAGAAGGAGGGACAGTCTCCTCCTGTACCAGTCAGATCCAATTTGATGGTACACACACAAAATAATAAAAAAATTAAAAAAACCAACCAAACAAACAAACCAGCTTTTGAAAACCTCACGTAGCACAGTTCTCTGATATATCTGACATCACTGTTAATTTGAATTAATTAGAAAATGGGAATGGACTGGATTTTAAAATACACACACAAACACATGTCTTTGTATGAAGTTGACCTAAAATTAGGGGCTACCAAGCCCTATTTACCATCAAATCCATAAAAAAAGGATGCAGAGATCAAACAAGGACCCAGAGCATCCTTGCCCAGGAGCTAAGGAGGACCATGCAGCTCTGTTGAGATGATGGTGTGGAAACCAGTGGCTGGGGCAGGTGTAGGGCCTCAGGAGGAGTCATGCCCTGCCCTCCTCAGGTGAGAGCCACTGCCCTGCTACAGACGTCAGGGCGAAACCCAAAGTGTGTTCTGAGTATAACTCCTGAGCTTCTACTCTGTGGCCACCCCCACTGTCCAGCCACTAACCCTTCCTCTTTAGGGTTTCAGCATACCATCCTGTAAATGTGAGGTTCTTTTCCCTCCTTTCTCCTCTGGCCTTTAGGGTAGCTTTGCCTTTCACTTTTTATACCTTTCTTAGTCTAAATTTATCTCTGTACAAGTTGAAGCCTCTAATTCTTCCTCCAGGGTTCCCTTTTTGTCACATTCACTTTTTGCTGATCTTTGCCTTGGGGTGAAAAGCAGTCCCTGGATCAGCCCAGGGGGGCAAGTGCAGAGTGAGCCCTGAATAATTCTGTTGACGATGGACGTTTCCTTTTCTAGCCACAGCCGTTAGACTTTTCCTGGAAAATGGAGCAACGTTACTCCAGTGATTTTGATTGCTTTGTATTGGACTAATTTGCAGATTGACGAAATCAATGTCTATGGAAACACTGCCCTCCACATCGCCTGCTACAATGGCCAGGATGCTGTAGTTAATGAACTGATTGACTACGGTGCTAATGTGAACCAGCCAAACAACAACGGGTTTACCCCTTTGCATTTTGCTGCAGCCTCTACTCATGGTGCTTTGTGTCTTGAACTGCTGGTAAACAACGGGGCAGATGTTAACATTCAGGTATGAGATCCTTACTCTTTGACTGTGTAAAGTACTTCTGCATTGAGCCTTGGTTTGTGCAAGATCAGGTGTGTAAATCATATCATGTGTTGTGGATTGCAGCCCTGGAGACTTTGGCCCACAGAGCCCTATCCTGCATCTGGGCCCTGCAGCCACTTAGCTGAAAGCCTGCAGCTCCTGTTTCTGCAGGAGGGTGATGCTGGCTAGAAGGCACTGACCCACCAGCCATGGGCTATTGGTAGCTTAGTGAATGTTCAAGAAATATCATGAGTCTCTGGAATGTTGACTCTGCTCAGGTTCTAATACTTGAGTGAATGTTGAGCTAATAGGGCAAACATGCTATGACTTAAAGAAAGACATGCTAATGCTACCAACGGCATGTGATGTGGTTTTAATTTTACATGTATACATTTTCCGTGTATCTTCTATATTTGAAGTAGTGAGCATGTGCTGGTTTTATACTCCTGAAAAAGGAACTATTTTTATTTTGTAAAAAAATGAAATCCAGGTGCAAGGGGGATAACGAGAAAATTGTTGCTATATGGTGTCAAGTCAATTCCAACTCTTTAATGACCCTCTCGTGTCCCTGCAGAGCAGTGTGGAACTGCCCTATAACGTTTCTGGGGCTTAGTCTTTAAGGGAACATGTTGCCAAGCGTTTCCACCCACAGAGCCATTGGTGTGAATCACCATAGCTGAGTGCCGGTCCATCCATCACCAGGGCTCCTTGAGTAGAGAATAACTCCAGATCAGACTGATGTGGATACAGGCAGTGAGGGCAGGAGAGTGGGGTGAGTCAACAAAAGGGAGAGAGTTTACAGAAAGAAAAGCAGCCGGTCTGTGTTGGGCAAGAGATGGAGGAGTGGATGAGCATAACATTTGGAACCTGGTAAAGAGAGGTCATTCAGTATGGTAGCAAAGAGTCCAGCTCCAAGCCGGCCTGTTTAGATACCAGTCCTCGTCTTGGCGTTTAGTAGCTATATGTAATCATAAATAACCTCTCTTTATGTCTCAGTGTGTTGATTTAAAATTGGAGAAATACTAGTATTTTCTCTGTGGAACCGTTGTGAGGCTTAAATGAGTTATTAAGCACTTCTTGCCCTATGATAAGCACTTGACAAATGATTGTTTTTATTTAGGAGGAAAGGTAAGCTTAACAGATAAAACAGATGAGTTTTGTTTTTGAAACACTGATTTTGAGATTTTTACTATAACCAGAATGAGAAAACCAGTAGGGGAAAATGTGATACTCTTGAATGGGAGGGACCAGAACACAAGAAAACCATTAAGTTGTTTCTTTCATGAGGAGATGATATTGAAACTGGAAAGTGAAGATGAAGACTTCCAGAGAGAGAGAGAGCACAAATAGAGAAGGGGATGGAGGACTCTTTTCTGCATGGGGGGAGGAGGAAAAGGAAGGGCCAGAGAAGAGCATTAGAGGAGAGTTAGAGAAAACAAGGAAGATAGGAGTATGTAGTGTCTCAGTGAAGGTAGAAAGCAAACAGAAATTCGAAAGGGAAATGAATGAAGAGAATTTCAGCATCCCTCACTTTGAAAGTAGAGCCTCTACAAGACCCTAAGAGGTGGTTAGATCTTTAGGGGCATGGAGGAGACCAAGGAACTGTGTCCCAAAGTGGGTTGAAGTCACAAAAGGTAAAGAGTAGGAAGCACACAGGTAGCCAAACCAATAATGCCCTCGAAACTTGTTGACCCTGCTTGTCTTGATGTCTTCGGAATCCTTCAAAGGAAGGAAAATAATTGACATGAAGAAGAAAATAAAGCACTCTTCACACCACACCTGATGCACAAGGCCAGAAGACAATGTAAACAATGTGCACCTGCTTGCTTCTTCCAGTTAACTGACCATTGACCAGTTTAGACTGGATGAGGAACTTAACTCTGTGCAGTGCACTGGCCTATGACAGCCTCCTGGCCTTCTCTCCCTCCCTCTGCCCTATGAACCCAGAAGGCATAGTTGTTAAATTGTAATATTTAATTTCCCCCCTCTGTAGTCATAAAGGGCAATGGTGAGCTTAAGCACAGACATTGTGAAGATGGCACAGGATCAGACAGGGCACATATGAGCACTGTGACTCAGAGTCTACTTACTGGCATCTAATAGTGAACAACAGTGGTCGGCTAATCAGGATTAGAATATAAGATGTTCTTCCAGTTCTGACACTTGGGTTATGTATAGCTGTATAAATGAGGTTTTGAATAAGGCCAAACCTTCTTCCTCAGCCTCCCTCGATCTACTCTGTGTCCTCTAGCTTCCTAATTCTCTGGTAACCTTCTTTAGTCCCATTGCACTCTGGATACACTGATCATCTAACATTTGTATTTGTAGAGCCATCTTGTCTGACTCTGGAGGCAGCCTTTCAATTCAGGCTGTTATCTCTCTGTACCACAATGCTCCTTGGATTGTGAAAGTGTTTATAGATTGCAAGACAATTTCTATTTGTTTAGACTGTCCAAGGTTAAGGAAAATAGCATGTTGAAATGTAGCCAAAACACACCCACATGTTTATTTTGTTTTCCTCTGTTCTCTCAGTACACTGAAAGTGATGTCTTCAGGAGGCTCAGCAATTTCAAGGCGAATGGAAAGAGGAGAGATTAGTCCTGGTAATGGTAATTAGTGATAATGAGTTCTCTCTGCCAACTCAAAGGCAAACTGATTCGGAGGAGAAAGATGGACAGTCTCCCATGCAATTCACTGCCTCAAAAAACCCACTGGAGAGTTGCTTATGACTCAGTGGCACATAACAACAACAAAATAATAAAGATACAATCATGTACATAATAGCCTATAGACCCATCTATGTATTGTCAACTGATATTTGATAAGAAAATCAAACCTGTCAAATAGGGAAACAATGACCTCTTCAGTAAATGGTGCTGGCAAAACTGGACTGCTACCCTCAGAAAGCTGATGTAGGATCCATATCTCACACCATGCACAAAAATCAACTCAAGGTGGAGGAAGTACCGAAAGGAAGGAGATTAACATCTGAGCCATGCACATAACTTCTCTGGCATTTAGAGCCATAAAAACAAATTATAGTATGATTTCTCCCTCTCCAACCAGGGTTTTAGATGAGACTTTCATTGACCCATTGTTATGTATTGACTCATAGTTGACTCTCTAGTGGGTTTTCAGAGGTAATAAATCGCATGGGAGGATTTGCTAGAAATTAACTAGAAATCCATTCTTCTCCCATGGAGCACCTAGTGGACTCAAACCATGTGCCTTTGGGATTACAGCACACCTTAGAGGCGGTAAATCATACGGGAGAAGATTGCCCATCTTTTTCTCACAGAGCAGCTGGTGGATTTGAATCACATGCCTTTGGGTTGGCAGTGCAACTCCTTACCACTAAGCCACTAGAGATCCCCTCCATTGAATGAAGGTCTTCATACCAGGGTTTTTAAACTCTCTTTGACCTCATAGGCTGGGCTTAGCGTCATTCCCTCAATAGTCTGCTAGCTCTGCATGGAGTTGCATGACTACAGAGGTGATGCCAAAGAAGAGACAGTGCTTTCCAGTCCCTGGGAAGTAATGATCTGCATAAATTTAGAGAAGACTGTAGTATGATGAAGGATAAAGAATGAGGACATTATTAGAGGAAGATAAGAATGAACTTCTGAGGAGAAAAATGGCAAGGAAATGGAAACTTTTCTAAGTCCTCAAATTAAAGCTGCTTTAGATAATACTGAGTTGTTCTGAAAGATTGCTGTTATTTGTCATAAAATAATCCTAATCATTTTTTCCTTTATAACTGAACTATGTCTAAGTCAGTAGAAGAGCCTCTTGTGTAATTAATTACTAAAATAATAACATTTCTTAACCCCTTAATCTGATAGAAAAAGATATCAAGAAATTGGGAGGAGACTAAAAATGAAAAAAAAAATATATTATGCAAGCCAAGCTTTGAGTAAGTGGAGGAATTTACTGTATCGTCTCTTTTCAGAATATAAGACATTAGGGGTGTTTCATCTTTGTCTCGGGCTCTGGGAAGAGCAGCAGCAGGGGCACGTCCCCTCACATGCAACATTCCTCAGCCCAGCCATGAAACACAACAGGATCCATACTCTCAACCCTGGTATTTTGGATTCTAATTTTTAAAGACTAGGTGAAAGCTATATCCTTTGGACAGTCATTGTTTTCAATGGGTATTTGAAATAATGAGCTGCTTTTATACCCATGTTATGTAAACAAAGCTGCCTAAAACTGACTGTGGTGATATTCTTTGTACTTCCTGTTTCCACCTCCCATCACTCCTAACCCTAACCCTAACCCTAACCCTAACCCTAACCCTAACCCAAAGAGAAAAAGCCATGTAAGACCCAGACTCAGCCAAGACGTGTTTACCTAGGCAAACATCTGCAGGGATATATATGAAGTGAGCACCACCTTTGATTATACAGCCATTCATTGCTTTTTATCCAACTTTCCCCATTCCCAGTTGCCGTCAAGTCAGGTTCAACCCACAGCATCCCAGTGGGACAAAGTAGAACTATCCCTGAGCATCTCCAAGACTGTAAGCTGGAGACTAAGGTGTGCCTGATCCAGACTATAGTCTTATCAGTTATGTGCTATGCATCGGAGAGTTGGACAGTGAGTAGGGATAATAGAAAGAGAATTGATGCCTTTGACCTGTGGTGCTGGAGAAGAGTGTTGAATATACCATGGACTGCTTCAAACAGGTTTGTCCTGGAGAGGGTGAAGCGAGTGCTCCTTGGAGTCAAGGGTCCTGAATCTTCATCTGACATACTTTGGGCATGTTGCCAAGAAGGACTGGTCCTTGGAGAGGGACATCATGTTTGGGAGAGTGGAGGGTCAGCGCAGGAGAGGAAGATCCTCAATGAGATGGATCGATTCTGTGAGTGGAATGGTGGGAATGAGTGTGTCAGAGATGGCTAGGTTGGCACATGATAGAGCAGCGTTTAGGGCTCTCGTACACAGGGTCGCTATGAGTCGCAAGCGACTTGGTGGCACATAACAATAAACAACAATCTTTGCAGAGGTAGACTGCCACATCTTTATCTGCATTGTAAATTCCGATTCTAATGTCAACCTTTCAGTTGGCAGTCAAACGCATTAACCATCGTGCCACTAGTGCTTCCCATCCTAACATTTTGGTCATTGCTGTTAGATATCCTTGAGTCTGTCTGACGTGCATAGCAACCCTATGTACAGCAGAAGGAAACATTGCCTCACTGAATGAGCCTCGCAACTGTTGCTATGTTTATATCCTCACCTTTGTTGCTGCTTTGTCCATCCATGCAGCTGAGAATGTTCTCCTTCCTGTGCTGATTCTCATGAGTGATGTCCTTTTCTAAAACCAGTCCCTCTTAACAGAATGCCTAATACATGTAAGGCAAAGTCATCTTTATTTATCTTTGTTGTTGTTGTGTACTGTCAAGTTGAAACTGGCCCATAGCTGACCCTCCGGCAGGTTTTAAGAGGCAGTTAATCACACAGGAGATTGCTCATTCTTCTCCCGCGGAGCAGCCGGTGGCCTTGAACCACGTGCCTTCTTGCCGTTGTAGTCATCTTTTCTACTTGTCTCTTTATCAAAGTTGCAAGCACTTTAAGGGATAGGAATGTATAGTCTTTGCAACCCTTGAAACTGGATTGGTTAATAAGCTACACACCAGGCACAGGTCATCTCTGCTATGGCTCTGCTTGTCTTTACAGTAGTTACTATCAGGTTAGATGGCAAAGATTGTGATGATGGCACAGCAGAGGACAAAGTTATCATCTGTTGTTCATAGGATCATGGCACCTGGGGGAAAAGAAAGTCAGGCCAGAAGGAGACCTAGGGTCCAGTGGTTAAGCACTCAGCTGGTAATGGAAAGGTCAGTGGTTCAAACTCACTAGCTGCTCCACGTGATAGCTGTTTGGTTTATTTTATAGGACTGGTGTTTGCTCCAAAGTAAAACCTTTAAACCCTTTTCTAGGCATGAGAAAGTGCTTATTTAAATATTTGTAAAGCTCTTATCTAAATAATCAAGTATTTATACCTTTATATAGATTTAATTTAGTACTAATTCATGTTAAATTGAAGAGCATGTAATGGAACAAAATGTAAAGAAATAGCACCACCTAGGGACAAGTCAATGTCAAGTCTATAACTTTCTTTCCTTAAAAAGTTTTGAACTGTCATCACTTTTTAAATAGGAAGGGCAAGTTTACATCTTTATTCCAAGGTAGCTCCCAAGTTCTTCAGTCCTTCAAATTGCCTAGAGTTCTGGAAGCCCAGCCCAGGTTCTGAAATCATGTAACTTTGAGAATCTTTCCTCCACTGTGTGTCTCAGGGCCTGTGATGACTTGTGTCCTCATTTTCTTGATTGCTGATCCCTTTCCTTTGAGAATGACCATGTCTAGTCAAGGCTCAAACTTACTTTCACTCTCCCTTCTCAGCATTTTCTGACCCAGGTTGTAACCATGTAAGATCTTACTAATTTTTTTCCGCATGTACTCAACTACCCAAGTACTCTGAACTTGAATGAGATATGTATGTTTGCTATTCAGACACACACAAACACACACATTTCAGAGAGTCACTTTTATTGTGAATATTATTAGCAGGGAGTAATTTTTAGGTACAAGTATATAGATTTCCACATTAATTTGATCTCTCAGCTTTTGAAATTGCAAACCAAGAGAAATATCTTGCCTGAGACTTAGAGAAACAAGTGTTAAATAGATTATTCTTATAAAATTGAATGAAAGAATATATTATCTATATTGGGGTTATTGTTGTTCTAAAGTAACAGCAATATTTTCTTTTGGACAGTAAATGACTGCGTCTTAATAAGGATGTGGAACTTTGGTAATTGGTATACAAATTTTTAAGGTGCTGTGCATTGTTATTCAATGTATTTATTCTGCACATTTTTTATGTGGTGTTCTGTACTGTTGAGTTGGAATCAAATCATAGCTGACCCTCCAGCAGGTTTTCACATGGGAGGAGGTTGCCCATTCTTCTCCCATGAAGAAGCTGGTGGCCTTGAACCAAGTGCTTCTGGGATTGCAGCACAGCTTCTTGCCACTAGGTCACCAGAGATCCACATGTTTGAGTATAATCCATTGAAAAGTCTCATACTTTATATCTTGAATGCTAAAAATTTAACATGGGCTTTTATGTTTTGAATAAATTTAACAACCATTACTAGCTTATCATTAAATGATCCCTTACTGAATAGTTTACTTGCCTTAATCCTATGAAATAAGTAAAAGGAGATATTCTCTTTTGAAACAATTAAAACTTCTATTTCTCTACGGAATTACGATTTAGGGATTGGTGTGCTTTCCAGGTCAGTTGTTGAGAGTTGCCATGATTAAAGACATTTTTGTTTCCCTCAGATTACACAGGTCCATGAAAGTTAACACATCATTTGTCTTTTGTTGTGTATTGTGGACAAAGGTTGGAAATAAGATCTGCAGGAAAACGTTCATCACTGGAGAAGGCAAAAGCCTTGGGTGATTGTTTCAGTTAGAGGATAAAAATTGTCAATGCTGTTAGAAATTTCCAATTTCCTTTCCAGAGTAGTTGTAACTTATCCCAACTTTAAAAATGTGATGTTATGGAAAACTTTGACAGAGTAAAGACATCATAAGGGGCCATGGTAGCTTAAGGGGTAGTGTGTTAAACTGCTAACCAAAAGGTCATTGGTTTGAATTCACCACTCAGTCCTTGGAAGAGTCACTTTGAAGACTAAGGTACACCTGATTCAGGCCATGTCTGTTTCATTCACTTGCTACTCATCTGAGAGCTGGATAAAGGATAAGGAAGACAAAAGAACTGTTGGCTTTGAGTTGTGGTATTGGAGGAGAGTGCTGACTATCCCATGAACTACTAAAAGAATAAATATTGTGTCTTGGGGGCATAGATGGAGAAGCTTTATCTCTTATATTTTGGACAAGAGGTTATCTTGGAAGGGACTACATGCTTGGAAAGGTGGAGCACCATAAAAGGTTAGGAAGCTCCCCAATGAGTTGTATTGACACAGTTACTGCAGCAAAAGGCTCAAGTATGTCAGAGAAGATGAAGATGGCACAGGATAGGACAGTGTCTGTTGTTCATAGGGTCACTATGAGTTCTACTTGACAATACTTAACAACAGAGAGTTGCATTAAGTTGGAATTGACTTGATAGTAGTGGGGGTTTTTTTAAATTTTATATACAACGTACCTTTACTTTTGAGAATCTATATTTCTGTTACCTTTTGCCTTTTGAGTTTTTTATCACATATTTTCATGTATTTTTTATTCAAAATATTGTTTTCAGTGCATCACCACACATATGTGGAGATGTTTCAGATTTACGTTGTTGGTTCATTAGCACTTGTGTTGTTTCCCTCTCCATTTTTTTTTAAGAGTAAAGATGGGAAAAGTCCGCTGCACATGACAGCTGTCCATGGAAGATTCACACGGTCACAAACCCTCATTCAGAATGGTAAGAGAAGTTCTTCAGTAGTGTCCTTATTTTCAGATTATCGGAATTTGACTGTGGGGGGCGGGGGTGAACCCCTTTCTCTGGAGCTTTAGTAAGCCAGGTTTAATGCTTTCCTCTGATCTGCTCTGCCAACAGCTTTTCACCAGGCATATCACCACCCTTTATCCTAGTAGAACATGAAGCCATGATGTTTCACAGCCAGTCCCAGTCAGACAGAGAGTGTGTGTGTTGAACCTAAAAATGTTGTTATATTCTTATAGACTCAAGATCCTGTGCTTTTTACTCTAAAATGAAGAATATTAAATAGCATGCATTTTCTAGCAGCAAATCTGGATTGCCCTTAGTTTTTTAATTTACCTCCGTTTCCTAAGCAACTCGTAAAGCAACTTGGACAAAGGTAAGAAAAGTGAGGTGACTCAGAGGAAAAGAAGGTAAATACATGATCCACAGGGTCATAAAAATCACAGGCTTGACAGAGACTTTGGAACACCATGTAATCTAGTAGTTTTCCGGGCTCACAAGAAAGGTGTATGCTGCTCAGAACATTGGGTTTTCTCCACAGCATCATAGGAGAAAGGTCTCTTCATAGACTGAGTCATGTTGCTCTTAATGGATCATAACCAGAACATACCGGGGGTTGACCTTCATAAATGATTTCTGTTATCTCCGCAAATTTTAAAGACAATTAAAAAAAATAAATAAAAGAAACTAACTGATGTAGTCCAGATTTCATGCTGACTCTCAGGCCAATTTGACAATCCTGAAATGATCTTTTGTTGACCCACATTTCTGCTTCTCCAAATTGTGAATGCCAACTGATTTCCCTTGATCTATCCTTTTGGCCTCTGTAAAAATTTGGTACAACACACACTTAAATTGTTAGTGGCAGTAAGTTATGTTTTAGACATGCATGTCATAAAACCAAGAAGTCATTTGACATTTGGATGGAGGACTGGTCAGTAAAATTATGCTTAGAAAGCAAAATATCTGCAGCAAAGCAAAGGAAATTTATAAACCTCTCAGCAGAGATATAGGAAAAATGAAATCCCAACAAATTTCTAGTGAACCTAGAAGGTAAAATGAAAATTAACTGCACATTGCCCATTATTTCTAATTTGCAGCATGCCTTTGACATTCATTTCATTAAAAGGGCCACTTTAATTGTAAATAAAGTGGGAGATTCTCTCATCTCTCCCTTTTGAACCCTTTGTATTTGTCATCAGCTTTTTAAGAAACAATATTCATTCACTTAAGAACAAACAAAGCCAGGAAAATATTTGCACCCGTTTAAAAAAAAATAAAATTACTGTGAATCTAATCATTGGACCTTAGCTCTGTGGAATAAAAAGCTTTGTCTCCTGTTAAAGTAATTTCAAGCACCACTGACCAGGTTGGAGAGAGAACACTTTTTACGCTGTGTGTGCTGCCTTCCCACAGACCCCTGTATGCCAGGCCACTGTGGCTTTCTCCCTCAGGACCTAGACCACCCACCCCACTCCCTTCATGTAAGTGTGCTTACAACAGTCCCAGGAAGTTATTGGCCACTTTGATCTCTCCAAGAGCCCACCCCTATGGCTCAAAACCTTCCTTGCCTTCCTCTAAGCTCTCTTGACAACATTTGAGTTGGATGTAGATCTGAAAGAAACCCCCTCTCCTGTCCTCTGTGAGGGATCAGTCTTCCTCACCTTGCCTGGCCTCGCATCTTGCTTGTGGTGAGTTCAGTGGAGCCCAGGAGCCTGGAATGATGAGGATGCAGGGGTTATAAAATATAGATTCTCATATATAGTAACATAATGTGCCAGAAATGTGGCATAAATCTATTCGACCATGGAGGCAGTCCAGACACGGAGGTGGTCACCTGTGTTGGATATATAGGTAGCACATCAAGAAACAGGTATTAGAAACTCAGACAGTCTCACATCGGAGACTGAACCACTACGCTAAAGGCAACACAAGTTATCCGGAAAAACAGTGACGTGTTAGAAAATGTTTTTTAACTATCTATTCTCAGAGTCACTTGTAAAAGGATGATTTTTCATTTTCTTCTCTCAGCTGACAATTCTTTGTGTTCATTATACCATGTGAGAACAGCAAGTCCTTCCAGTTGACATTTTTTTAAGCCACCCCTGAGGAGAAGAATAGGAAGCTTTCTTCTTTCCTCCTGTTTATTGGCTTCCTTCTGGGAAAATCCTTGTGCTGCTGCTGCTGCTGCTGCTGCTGCTGCTGCTGCTGCTGCAACCCTCCCTTCTCCGGAGGCTCACACCCCGGAGGGCCTGGGGTCAGCCCTCCAGAGGGGTCACTGCAGAGCGGGAGCTGCTCTGCCCTTTGGGATCCCCAGTACCGAGACCACATGGGGACAGAGCTTGGCTCCTGTAGCCAAGTGCACATATTCAGCTAAGGGGCATTCTTTGTATTTTTATTCACTTGCTTACTTGTTTGCTCCGGTATTTTGGAATTCATATATATTTCTGCCCTGACTGCTCTCCCAGTTGTTTGTTAGTAGTTCTTCATAATAACTGTTTTCAGAATAGCTTTGTTAAGACCATCTTTTTAAAAACCAAAGCAAAGGCATTTTTAGTAAGGAGAGGCTTCCTCTGCTATTACGTCACTTGTTTTGTTGTCTGAGGCTGTGTTGTCTCAGCCAGAGAGGGAGAGGAACTGAACAAAGAACCCATCGTGTATCCGCAGGCGATTTCCCCAGCCCTTGGCACCGGGCTGCGGCCTTAGACACAGTCTAGCAGGTTCCAAAAGTCACTTTTTTTTTCTTCATAGACCCTTTGGGATTAAATTACATTCTTGAAAAAAGAGTTAAGTGGTAGGTTAGGATGACACATTCTAAGATTTTTGACCTTTGACTCATAAATGGACTCTGTAGCAATTTAACAAGATGGCCATTCTTGTTTGTGCAATGAAAAATTATTTCACATGAATGGTTAGGTAAAGCTGCATAAATCATCCTTTCTGACATGCTATTTATACTCTGACATTCATAAATGTTTCTTTTCTTCACCTATTATCACTTCCATCATTTAACTTGGAACCTTCAATTGTAGTCAATGAATACTGTTTAATTTACATTTTAAGCAAATCTTAAGGATTTTCAAGTGAACTAGGTTGTTGTTATTTATGTGACATTAAGTCACCTGCAACTCATAGCAACCCCAGTCACAATAGCTCTGAACTCTTTCCTATCATAAGCAATTTCACTGTCTCCAACACACCTGCCCCCATTACCCCAGTCACTGTGTCAGTCCATCTCAGCCAGAGTCTTCCTCTCCTGCACTGTCCCTCCACCCTTCCAAGCATGATGCCCTTCTCCAAGGACTGGTCCCTCCTGGGAACATGTTGAAAGTATGTGAGATGGAGCTTCAAAATCCTTGCCTCCAGAGAGCAAGTTATTTCACCCTCTCCAGAACAGACAGACTTGTTTGTTCTCTTGGCAGTCCATGGTAGGTTCAAGACTCTTCTCCAGCACCACAATGCAAAGGCGTCAATTCTTCTTCAGAGGACTATTTTAGTATTAAACTATTCTGAATAACAAATAATAAGGATGACAGAATAAAGAACTGATGCCATGGATGGCCGAGAGAATGAACAGATACCTCTTGGAGAAGATAGAGGTAAGAATGATGAGGCTTCGCCTCACATATTTTGGACATGTTGCTAGGAGAAAGATATGATGTTGGGAAGGGTGGAGGGTCATTGAGGGAGAGGAAGACCCTCAACCAGGTGGATTGACACAGTGACTGCTGCAGTGGGCTCCTGTGTGTCAGGAAGTGTGAGGATGGCACAGGACAGATCAGGGTTCAGATCTTTTGTTCACAGGGTTGCTGTGAGTCATGCTCGACTCAACAGTACCTAATAACAACAACAAATAACAAGTATATTGTTTCTTTTTATAATAATTTAATGAAATAGTAATATAATACTTTTAATTAAATAGATATATAATAAAACTAATACAGATGATGTTTTCCCTTAAAAATCATTTCTTGTACTTCAGGCAGAGCTGGACACTGATGTTGAAAAGCATCATTTGGTCAACATAAATGACTGGCATAGAATGTAGTGCTTGAATCAGCTTGGAGCTTTGTTTTATTCTGTATTAAAATGTCTCTTTCAGGAGGTGAAATTGACTGTGTGGATAAGGATGGCAATACTCCTCTCCATGTGGCTGCAAGATACGGCCATGAGCTTTTGATTAACACCTTAATAACCAGTGGAGCTGACACAGCCAAGTAGGTTCCTGCAGAAATATGGTGAAATAATTGCCAAGTATGGGAATCATGCCAGGTGGACTCTGCTATGGACTGGACAGCTCCCCTTTATTCAGATGAAAGGGAATCTACACCATTATACTGACCACACATTAACTTTGAAAATAATTAAGTGGCTTTTAATGATGAGCATAAGGAAAAACCAACGTTAATTTTAGTTACAGAAAGATGAGGCCTATTTCAGTGGTTTTTAGCTTTTGTTAGTTTTGGTGTTATTTTTATTCTTTAACTTTTCTTTTTATTTTTCAGTAGAAAAAAACAACACAATTGGGCACATTTAGAGTTTATTCTGGGTGCTTGCTTAGTTTTAATGATTCAGTTATAACATAACATAGTAGTTGAGTAGGCATTAGGAAGGGAGGCTTTAACCTCATTTTATGTTTAAAACAAATGTATATAAAATGTCTGTATTTGTCTTTCAATTCTGGGCACTATGGTGGGATACAGAAGTAAATTACTTGGATAGAGCATTTAAGTAGCTGTAATTTTGTTGGTGCCCTCAGCCCATTCTAAGATAAGAACCATGCTAGAGAGTACATTGCAGACAGGAACTTGACAGAACTGTCTTGTTTTCCTGGGGCTTACAAGTTTCCCACCTCTGACAAGGTGCATTCTTACTAGTTTTCTATCACTCTCTGTAGAATATATTTGAGGTTTTCCTTCTCTGCTAAGTTTATGAAACAAGATAATTCATGTAAAGCTCTGAATATTCTCTGGTACTTAATAGGATATCAATGGGTGTTAGTTATCATTTTCTAACTTAATAGTAGATGTTGTTGTTGTTGTGTACCATTGAATTAGACCTGACCCATAGCTGACCCTGCAGTAGGTTTTCATTGGCAATAAATAGCACAGTAGGAGACTGCCCTTCTTTCTCCCACAGAGCAGCTGGTGGATTTGAACTCAGTACCTTTGTGTTGGCAGTGCAGCTCTTTATCACTGAGCTCCCCAAATGGTGGATAGTAGAATAAAATGAAAGAGGATCTTAAATGACTGAATTAAGAATTTAGTCTTGCAGGTACTGTGAATAACAGTCATTGAGAAGAACAGTATTAGGATTGTGTTCTATGAGCACTTTCGATTTACTCATATAATGTTGTGCCGCAGAATTGTCAACCTGGCCTCAGAATAAGCCACAATTTAAAATGGTCAGAGGAAGCTGTGGTGGAATTAGAAGTGAATTGTGTGGAGCACTCTGGGAGGTTGGTAGTAGATAATGATTTACAGTCCTCAGTGCAGAATGAAATTGAGTTTATTTCTGGATTCTCATCTAGTGGAGAGAAGAACAGCAGTGAGTGACTAAAGGCTCTGGTGGCCTAGTGGTAAGGAGCTGCTCTGCCAACCCAAAGACATAAAATTTTAATCCCCCAGCTTATCTGGGGCAGGAGGATGGAAAATCTCCTCCTGTGCAATTTACTGCCTCTGAAAACTGGCTGGAGGGTCAGTTATGGGTCAGTTCTGATTCAACAGTGCACAACAATAACAATAAAAAGTTTAAAGTGAGATATGTTGTGATGGAGGTTTCAGCTAGGCTATTGATACAGAATTGGCAAAATAACTGGTTCTCTGGGTTCCCCAGAAGAGCTGACATTTCAGCAAAAGGAAGGATGATAGGACTTAGTCAAGGGAACAGAACCGTGTAGTTTTGAAAGATAGAAGGTAAAGCATGGAAGGAAATTCCAGGAAGAGGGAACAGCATGTGCAAAGACATAAACATGGATGTGTTGAAAAGACATTTGGAAAACTGAATCATCTGGGGACAGAGGAGAGGAGTGAGGTGAAGAGGCAGGGAGGCACATCTCCAAAGACCTTGACTTTCTTGCTAAGGTGGTGAAATTCTGTTCGTAGGCATTAGGAGCTATTAAAGAGTAATATGTAGATACAAGGTAGGTTGTGTCATTTATACATTAGAAAGATTGCTCTAATAGCAGCCTAGGCATCTTGGAGGCAGTCCAGAGTAGAAACACTGGCAGTACCTCGCAAACATGCAGAGAATAATAGACGAGGACTTGGCTAAGGCCGAGGCTGGAGGCCTACAGAGAAAGGGAATACTGACAAAATAGTAGTAACAGTGGGAAGTCTCCTTCCAGAGGAGAAGGGAATCTTCCTTCAGCCAAAGACACTTTCTAATTGAGACATTGCATGTTAAAAGACACCACTCAGTATTGTAGCAAGAGAACCAGACAGGAATTCAGCAGGTTCTCACCAGTTTCTGGAGTCCTCAGTCAGACCATATCCACTCAAAGCTTGAACCATGAATCTTCATGGGTTCATATTATGAGAATATAATGAGTGATTTTTTTTCTTTTAACTTTAGGTTACTTGGAAAGTTTTATCCAAATATCCACAACTTTCTGAGTTTTCTTCCAGATTTGAATATGTTTTAGGGATAAAATGGGTGCAAAACGTCACCTTAAAAATATCCTCATTGCTCAAGCAGCCTTTCCTTCTGCTGGGTGTGCTATGTCTAGGGAACACAGATGAGAGAAGCATTGTCCCTGCTTTCTTTTGTTATTACATCTGTACAAGATGTGTCCCCTGTAGTAACTGAGGCTTACTAAGACAGTGTGTGTGTGTGTGTGTGTTGAGGGTGCTGTGGCAAGAGAAACTACCTTCTCTATTTTGAGGGGAAGAACAAATGACAGAGAAGGTTGGAGAAGGTTACTCGGCCTGCCTCCTTAAAATCATGGTTCCCTGGGCTCCTTGAAGATTTGTTTTGTTGGGTAGCTTACTAAAGAGAGGTTAATCCAGACCTTGCCTTCTGTAAATAAGTAAAACAACAAAGAGCATTTATGAAAATAGCCATCCTTACGCATAACCAGTATTTGTTGTTCAACATCATTAAGATGGAACCAACTCATCGCTGACACTCCAGCAGTTTTCCGAAGGCTATAAATTGCATGGGAGGGGACAGTTCATCTTTCTCTTGAGGAGAAGCTGGTGGATTAGAACTACATCTTTTTTATTACTTCTTACTATACTATTAGAGCTCACAATAGAAACAATATAGCAAACCCTATTTAAAAAGAACATCCATATATGATAATTTTTAGCATATATAATCTTATAAATGTCATGAATCTCATTCTTCATCCTTGATTATGTGCTGGTTCAGGATAGAGCAGGGTTCACAACTATTGTGCATAGGTTAACTCTGAGTCATCTTCGACTCAAGGACACATAACAACAGCTGCACAGTTAAAGTAAATGAAGTGTCACTAAACTCCAGCTCATTGCTGTCAAGTCAAAACTGTCACCAAGCAGACCCTCCAGTGGTTTTTGAGGCTAGAAGTCACATGAGAAGAGATTGCCCATCTTTCTTTCACAGAGCCGCTGGTGGATTCAAATCACTAGAGAGGCTAGGCCTTTGAAGTTAGCAGTTATGTGACCTTGGCCAGGTAATGAAACCTCTCTACACTTCATGCAGGGAGCCCTGGTGGTCATGGTCACATAGCGAGGGAGGGGTAGACCTGAGATTCCATCTTCAGTCATCTGCATCTGGAGCCTCAGGCCCTGAGTATAGGGTTTGCTGTTTCCTTATAACCAGTGATGTGATAGTTCGTGTTTTGCCAAAATTAAATCACCATTTGCAGCGAATTATGTTGCTGTTGGCTATGATGTTGACCCTTTGGAATTCAGTATCCAGGGATGGAGGCTTTGCAGCTACTGCAAAGTAGTGGGAGAGTGAACTCATCACATGATACAGAGGCCTTTGTTCAAACTGCTGCTGAACTGTGTTCATACAGAAGGATCAGTGTGCTGTGATGTCATCCCCCCCATTGACTCAGACATAGCATCCATGTCTTAAGGTCATCTTTATTCCGACAGAGTGCTACGCACAACACTGATGTGTTCCTAAATATAAACATGATGTCCCTCTCCAAGGACTGGTACATTCCTGCAACATGCCCAAATTATGCTTGGGAGGGTGGAGTGACAGCACGAGAGAGGAAGACCCTTGATGAGATGGATTGACTCTGAATAGGGTAATAGGGGTAGGTGTGTCAGAGACAATAAGGTTGGCTCAGGATAGAGCAGGGTTCAGAGCTGTTGTACATAGGGTCACTGTGTGTCACAGGTGACTTGACGGGACATAACAACAATAACAAATATAAACATAAGTGCCAATATTTGGCATCTGTGGGTAGTGATAAGGTGGTAGTTTAGATAAGCCAAAACATGTTTTATTGGTGTCTCTCTGGAGACTAAGGTGAGTTTGATACAGGCCTTGGTCTTTGCAATCACTTGTTATGCATCAGAGTTGGACAATGACTAGGGAGGATAGAAGGAGAATTGATGCCTTTGAGCTGTGGTGCTGGAGAAGCGTACTGAATGTACCATGGACTGCCAAGAAAACAGATTCATCCTGGAGAGGGTTAAACTGGGCTGTTCCTTGGAGGCAAGGATTCTGAGGCTTCGTCTGACATACTTTGGACATGTTGTAAGGAGGGACCAGTCCTTGGAGAGGGACATCATGCTTGGGAGTGTGGAGGGGCAACACAAGAGGGGAAGGCCCTCTATGAGATGGACTGATTCAGTGGTCTGGTGTAATCGGGATGAGTTTATTGGAGACAGTGTGATTGGCACAGGACAGAGCAGAGTTTTGGGCTGTTATACAGAGGGTTGCTATGAGTTGCAAGCAACTCGATGACACATAACAACAGTGGCAACAATTTTAGATTGTCATCAAAATGAGAAAAATAATATTCTATAATTTCTCACCAATAACTCTCAAGATACCAGAGTTACATCCAGGGGCCCTGCCCACTGACTAGTTTGAGAATCTCCTTTAGAAGGGACATTGATGAGAGGCTTTGGACAGAGGGAGAAATGAGCATAGACGCCTGGGGCCAATCCTGACTCTATAGAGGGGTAGGAAGTGGTGCAGTGGGATTCTAGCAGACGCAAGTGAGACAGCAGTCAGATAAAAGTGTCCTTCCACTGGAGAGCATTATGCTGAG